AGGTTGGTAGAGGAATGTTTCCTAAGAATCCCTATGTATTTGGTTTGCTTCAATTTTGCAATAAAACCGAGAAAATCGACTTTTTCTAGAGACACCTCGAAATGTTGATATTCGCTGTCGATTTTGGCTCGACTTTATGAAGCTCTAAATAAACACCAAGTAACGCAAACAGAAAAATACCTTTGAGCCCTTGTAACACCACACTTTGTTTATAAATAGCGTGACTTTGAGCGTGGTTAACGGATTAAAACATATTGAAATCGTTATTTTCCCTAGAGATGTATTTTAAGTCGCAAAAAGTAGGGTGTACAAACTGGCTAACTGTGAATTTGCGAAACCTTTAAAGCTCATGAAATCTGGATATTTTGTAGTTCTAACAATGTACTTTAAGAAGTTTGAATCAAATCTTTGGGCAATTGTTTTGAAGTACGCGAAAAAGCNTAGCAAAGAAAAAGGACAAAAAACTTGTAATTCGCTAATATCACTAACCCTACATGTTTATTAGTTTTCGATATAAATAATCGAGTCTAAGGTTGAAAGAAGACCAATTTAAGAGTTTGAAACCGGAGGAAAACTGCTTGGTGGCGAACGTGAAAAGTTTTAAGAACAACGCGTGGTAAACTTATTTATCACAAATGCCACTACAAAACATGCTATTACCTATACAAATACAAATTCTAGAAGGAATTACGTTTTTTGGCTGACTCAAACTTAACTCAACCTTAACTCAACTTTAACTCAAACTCAACTCAACCTCTAACTCGACCTCTAACTCGATAGATAGCTGATCCCAAAGAATAGCGCTTTAATTTTTTTCCGAAAATTCTTTCAGACTTGGGGTTCGTTTTATACAGGCATCTAGTTTCAGATGAAGGAGCTAATAACTCTAAAACATAACTTTAAATGTATTTCAAACACTTATAGGCATAAACTACAGTTACTAAGCTTCTGTAAGTATTTGCAAAACAACAAGAAGGTTATAGTCGATGACGCGAGTAGGGGTCGCGTGGGTACGCTGATACCTTAAGCGTACTACACAAAAAATTGTGTTCTACAGAGTCAAAGGCTTTTTGAAAATCCACGGCAAAAAGTATACTAGAGAGATCATGCTCCTCGGAATATTCCATGAGATCTGATATAAAACGAAGTGGCTCACTAATGTGTCTTTCTTCCACGAAAGCCGTTTGATTGGGGTGAATCAATTTTGCAGACATACGAGCCTTCAGTTATCATAAACAGCACCTGTCCAGTTTCCTTGACTACCTTTAAATTGCCAAAAAGGACAAAGACTATCGAGGTATGGACTTAGACCACTTGAAGTTTGAGGTGGGGGCGATTGTTTCTTTAAGTCAATATTTCATCAGTTACATGGTTATCAAAGTCATCATTTAGATATCAGAGCTGAAGCTGTAAAATATCTGAGAGACCATGAAAGATTTATGGAAAGCATAGTAGGTACATCATGGATTCAGTATCCTTCCAATATGTCTATACAAGGAACATGACATCATACAAGCAGTAGCTGATACAATGAATTTATAGATTCATATTATAGAATCAGATAAGAACTTTAGACAAGTCACTCTGATAGAACCAGCAAATAAGGCACAAAATGCTTCATGCATTATGTTTCAACATACCCAGCTTAATCTGAAATGCATTCAAACCTCATGAATGGTTTTAAGAGAAGAATGTCCAAAAATGAAGCAGCAGAGCTTATCAACACCAAAACAAATACTGATTCACGTATGTCATCTGATATCAATCAATTTGCAAATTAAACAGAACAACTTGACATGGTTACAACAAGTAATAGCCAAATAGCAATCCACTCTAATAGAAAAACCTACATGAAAGAGTACATGAAGAATTATAGGACAAGGAATAAGTAAGATTCATCCCCAGAAAAAAAGGCTAAACGTAAATCATAAGAAAGAAACTATAGAAACCTCCCCCTGCTGTATTGGACAACGAAAAAGCAAAGATAACATGGGACATCCCATTCCAACTGGAAAGATCGTCTACAAATGGAGCAAACAAGATAGACATAGCTGTGATGGACAAAGACAACAAGAAGTGGATCCTACTAGAATGACTAGAATGACTAGTAGGTAAAATCAAAGAAAAAACAGTACAAAACAAGAAAAATACAATGACCTACGTCAAGAATCGAAGAGCATTCATAAAGACACAGGAGTCACGCAAATCAACGTGGTCTTTGACTTCTTAGGAGGATACAACAAATAACCACGCAAAGTACTGTTTGCAAGCTGTTCAGTAGAGCAGTTTAAACGTGATCTGCAAGCCCATCTTAAGAAATACACAAATTAAGTTTGTAAGCATTATACCATGCAATTGTATATTTAGTTATCAAACTCATTAATAATTCATAATGTCATTAGCCAATGATATACTGAGAATCTAATCACGTGATTATTTAACAAATAAATAAGGCTCAGCCGTGGTTTATACTCTATAAACGCACACTTGGTATTTGAAACACACGAGAAAATGTCAAGAAGCTGAAATCCATTTTGTTGCCTTTTTCAAAAATCGCTTGCTCACAATCGTGGTTTATACTCTCATAAACCACACTTTTTTGGCCAATCAGAGCGCGCGTTAGAATTCATCTATATAATAAACCATTAAAAACCTCAAAGTTGGGGGCGGCTTTGAATATTTTCAGGGGAGTGCGGGGCTGATTATTATTCAACGTTTTCCTGATACAGACCTAATTAATAAAACATTAGTTCTGTATCAGGAAAACGTTGAATAAAAATCAGGCCCATACTCCCCTGAAAATATTAAAAATGTCTAAACTCGTGTGCAACCAAACACACTCTAACACAACAAATCAATGTTGAAGCAATGTCTCGTTTCCTCGCAATTTAATCGTTCGTCGGATAAGGTTTGCCGTTTTCTTCGCGCCACGTCTTGTATGAATTTCACCATCAAAAAAATCAATGACTCGGCGTTCATGTCTTCAAGATTAGTGTCAGCATCTTGGCATGACTCGCTGCTTTTGAAACTRGATCTGATGCTCCMATTTATGGCTTTTTTCTTCGCACAGTCTTTTTGCTAGTCGCAAAATAAGGTTGCGGCCCATTTTGTAGAATATTTGTGGAACACTCGCCTGAACAATAGCGCTTTCCTCTTTGTTGAGTTTTAGGTCTCCGAAATCAACTCGACATGACATTTGAGGGAGAAATGGAAGGCAACTGATTTAATTTTTGCTAACTATGAATGCCTAATATCTTGCAATTCCTTTGACAATTCTAATTTRCCCGATACAACACGCTCTCTCATTCTGTATACATTACTTACAGTTTTTTGTTGATGACCATCAACAGAACAATGTTTGTCAAGTGATGGATTTCATGATAATTGTATATTATTTGCAACTTTTGTTAGCATTTCTATAGTACAATTTTGATATCTATACATATATATTTACAGTTGTAGTTTTTATAGTTAGCAGTAGTTAGTAGTAAGCGATAGGCAGATCAAGTCAAAAAAATAAAATTGCCTTCAAAGATTTTGTCATACCATGCATGTCATGCACACACCCTTACCCTAAAAGCATAATCACAACATTTTAAACAAAGATGACAGATGACATATGCAATCATCGACTGCCATTTTTTTATATAAAGCAACTATCAATTTACATATAGTCATGTGATCATACATACTTCACTACATTACAATAGGTTACTTTGTATATTGTCAGGAGATATCGCAAAAAAGATTGCTATTTCTTTGYTATTTGTTACATCCAAACTGTGTAAATCTTCGAATATTCTCAATTACAGTACAGCTGCAAAATGCCAACATAACTCTGAGATTGTCAGATGATCTTCAAATAAAACTTCAATGTTTTTAAATCTGTATAATTAGTCCAATTTCTAACTATACTGGAAATGTTGAAGAATTCGTCGGTCATATTAAGTCAGTCTGAACAAATATAATTTTCCNACCGCAATCTTCTCGAAAGGACTTCTTTAACGCACTCTTAGAAGGAATCTGATTCGGAGGAGCAACACCGTCTAATAGCAAACGTTGCTGAATTTCAGATATGTAGACGCTTGGTTTGCAGTTTTTTTCGACTTCAATATATTCTGTTACATCCTCCGTTACTACATTTCTGAAAGGGGTATGACGCGGGACAGCGAACGAAGAATTACTGTGTTGATAGCAGGCRACAACCTTATTCACGTAGCCYACGCTACATCTCAAACTTCGTGCTATTGCCCTTTGAGATTGTCCTTGGTGGTTTAAATCYAAGATTCTTTCGCGATAATACTGGGGTAAACTCCTTCCATTGCTATACAAGCCGTCAGAAATATTGACAMTAACGTTGCAACCTAAATGAATGATCAATCCAATATATGTTCTCAGTGGATAAAATTCGAAACAGTATCACTATCTATCGAACTCAGATTTGATGTAAAATTTGAATTGATATACATTACCATTAATTTTGTGTCCTAAGTAAGCCATTTTATTGTAAGTAAGTTTTAGATAAGTTCGGATCACTGAGGATCACAGTGACGGTTTTAACTGAAAAACGTATTTCCCGCTCAAAAAAATGTTAGCGTCCTTTGTTTTGTAGACGGTCCCTGATTGGTTCAAAAGTAAATTTATGCAAAAAAAAAACTCCGAGTGTTCATGGTTCGAGTGTCCGCACTGTAACAACTACTATATCATAAAATACATGTTAAGTATATGTGGTTAATCTGTATTTGAATGTCCCCTATACCTATTTATAATTAAAGTACAACTTAAGTATAGAATATCTGATAAGTACTTGGAACCTTTCTATTAACAACTGCTAGATATAATGATAATAAATACATATTAAGTATGTACATTTTATTTTATAATTATATGTATATGAACACTACATTATATTATATTTTTATATTATATGATATATAATGACGTCAGAAGCTTAATTAGTATTACATATAGATGGAGACACAAAACTAACATGTCGGTTTGCATTATGTAAATCAATCTTTTTCGTGCAAGTTCGGAATGAGACTTATGTATGATCCTGAGGCAACATCAATTCGTAAAACCTTCTTTTTGAGAGCATTGATGGGAACAGCCATTTTCCTAAAAGCGAAATGTAATCATCCGTTATTCAATTTATAACAGTTTATTGGCAAAAAATAGTAAATATAATATTATGGATAAAAGAAAACAAATGCTTTTTTAATATATTATAAGGTGTTGGTAGTAATTAAGGAAGGTGTTCATTAAAGATCATATATGTAAGGGTATTGATCATATAATCTAGCTTAGATGACATCATGCAGTGTGTGTAAATTCTTATTACCAATTTCTGTTTGTAAGGTTCAACTTTTTGCTTTCTTGAACTTTGAAGATATGCTTGATCACTGCCTGTTTGTGAATGGTTGGTGATATGACTGGCATATAGTAAAATGACAGTAGGTCGCAAGAGCACTTCCCCTGAACTGTACACTGTGCCTTGGTACATCTGTTGATTACTTTGACATATGTATCAATCGAGACATATTCTAACTTTTCTGTTAGGGCAGTGTAATTATTACGTACAGTTACTTTAGTTGTCACAGCAACGTTTAAATTCCCAGAAGAATCACCAATGGGGTGGCCATGAGCTTCTAAAGACTCTCTGAGTTCCTTATCTAACTCTTCAATGTGGTTCTTTGTCATGCCACCAATGACATAGCTTTGATCATTAATTTCTTCTGACTTAGAGCTAAAAAGAGCATTTAAAAAGGATTGTGTAATTAATAATTTCATTTGACAATGAATCAATGTAACACATATAATTACACAGTATGAAGTACTAATCAGCTGTAGAACTTACGTGTGAGTTTGGTGAGACTTGCCCATTAATTTATCATAGACTTTCTTTTTTTCTGCAATTTCTGGCATTCTTTGTAACACAGAGACAGAATTTATTATCTAAAGACAAAGAATATTTTTATTAAGTAGTCTCATAAGATTTTATCTTATAAAATAACTATGATTAATTAAATATTTTATACCAAATGATTATTTAATATGATGATCTATGGCAATATTTAAGTTTTAGATTGATTATTATATAATTGTGTACCTGACCAGAGATGTTTAGAGTTCCATGAAAGAGGTCTTTCAAATCTCCATTGAAATCTTCAAACGGAAAACAAGAATATCCCCAAAGAGGTCCAAGATATTTCACTTCCTCGCCCAGGTGTAGGAGCTGGTGGCAGTTGAAAGTTTGAAAGCGTTCCCCTGCAATCAATTAAATCAGTAAAAGTTCTGAATATTGGTTAGATTGCGTGATATCTACATATGAATTGAAGAAATCCCCTAACGTATATTATAAATATACCAATATATAGGTAAATTGATTCAGTTAATATTTATTCACTTGATTAATGTCAAAAAACCTGGAAATTGTGCTTGATGACCTTTAATAAAAATAATTTAAAAGTAGTCGAACGAACGATTTGTGATACGTTTTAGTTATTTAAGAATAATCAAGCCGCCAATGGCAACACAACTCGAAGATTAATTGTGTAGACGAATAAAGAACGATACGATGAATCGAATGATAATTACTTGAYAAATACAATTCTGAGTATCTGATTTATGAATATAGTTTTTTTTCGTTATATCTGATTAAAAATCAACAAATCAACATCCGTCGACAATGAATTAATTTAACTTCGGTTCTGGATAGCGCCGGCGATCGATATAATGATATAAATCCCATTCAGCATCCAAAACTATGTAAAATCACCCGCAAGTGTCAAAAAGCAATAATAACAATCCCCATGAAACATAACTTCGCCCGCAATCAAAAATCGATATCTCGTGAGTTCAATTAAAGCAAACAAAAGAAACTTCAAAAATTTGATCATCAAAGAGTTTGTAAGCTTAAACGTAGCAATGATTGAAAAGGTCGGTAGACGAAATATGTTTCATTGAAAGTCTTGGTTTTGTGTCAAACAAGAAATTTGTTAAAAAAAACAACATGTACTATGAAACAGTCAAATAGTATGCGGTTTAACAAGGCAAAACGGACAATTTCTTAAAATATTTGAGTCTGTCTGAGAGAAATTTGTGTTTTTGGTACATTTTTGTTATATCATAAGTGTGGTCATTTTAAGTAATCAACCTAGGTAACAAAGAAAATGTCAAAGCAAGTACGCAAAGAAATTTTGCATAAGTATCTATAGACGACAGATGCTTTGCAGATTATCATATTCTTTCAAAAGCACATGTTTTATATTTAATTCAGAAGTGTTTGGACGTCGATGTATAAAGGAGTACAAGGAAGACTACAGTCTCTTTGATTGCGAGCTGCGTAGAGCTGGAAAATTTTACGACGGAGTCTTCATTGTTTCATTTCAATATTAACTTGGGTTCTCGATAAGCACAGGCCATCACCTTCGTACAATCATTTTCGAAACGAATTGGAGGATCGTCCAGTCTTCTTTGCTTGCTTTTCGACCTTTGTGACTTTGTGACGGTATGTCGAATCAAATTATAATTATTTTTCAAATAGAATTGTACATGATTTTATGAATACAGTGGCCGAATGGAAGCCGTGTCTTCGATTTCCAAAGGCCCGTTTACACTTGCAATTTTTGCAGCGCGATTGTCGCGCGACAATCACCAMTTTGCTCTCGYGCACCTSAAATCGTACGTGTAAACAGCCCTGCGATTAGAGAGGTTTAGCAT